TGGATTCATGGGTTCTCCAAGCAACTCCTTGGACATCGAATGATAATTGCAGAGATCCCTGAACGACCAAAAAAGGGAATCCTGCTCAACATTAGAGTGCACAAACATCTTTCTGGATGGATTTCATCAGCACCGTATAAATCCAAAGAGAAATTCTTGAAAATCATCAATATTAAAATTTGGACAAATAAATCATTATAAAATGCAAAGGAAGAAATCGAAAAGGTCTATTTATTGAGTTGAGAATGCAGAGTAGCATTACTTTTCCAGTTGCGGTTTCAAAATTGAACCATATCATGATTCATCTATCTCATCCTTGTAGATGGCATAAACAACACAGCATGACAAAAAGAGTTAGGCGCGAAGCACCCTAAACCATATAGTAAATGTGACATTATGAAGAAATTTTAGGTAAGGATTTTTCTCACAGGATTTTAGTCACTAAATATGCTCTCTTATCTACCTGTCTCAGCTGCCTTTTCACAATTTAACCTAGAACCTCACACAAAACTCTCTTATTCATTTAATTTTATTTTTCATTCAATAAATTTGAGAGTGCGAAAAATTGGAGCCCACATATAATATATATATCTGTGTAAGCGCGCGCGCGCAAGCCGTAGCATGTTCGTTGGCGGAGTTCACTGTAAGTCCCCTCAGGTCACGGGTTCGATCCCCAGTGGCGCTAGGTTCTCGAATATTTAGGCACATGCGTGAGCTCTCATCATGGTGCCTGGCGCATGGGAAATCGTTATTTGGGTCTCTGCCAAATACCGATTTCCTTTTTTTTAATATATATATATATATATATGAAAAGTGGTGAAATATGCCTCTAATGGACGAAAAATCTTTCTATTTGACTTTATATGCCTCATAATGGACGAAAAATCTTTCATGGTGGATTTCAGCAGCAATACAAAGCGAAATTAAAGTACAACCACCAACCATTAAAAAACCTCCCACAAAAGTAGAGAAAGAAAGCCATTCACAAAAAAACACAAACCCACAAACTAATGAGTTTTCTTTCAAGAGTGAAGCATCACTGATGTATTAATACTTACCATCAAACCATCAAAGTCGTATCTACATTATCACGCAGCATTTGAATACAGTTCATTCAAATCAAGGGAAAAAAAAACTAAGAAAGTACAACTTCTGATAAAAGGCAAACATCTACATATAATAAGGCTCCAGTTAGTCACTTGAGGAAATGGAAAACTTTATATGAAATGGGAGTTGTAGGCTCGGATTCACCTTAGATCCTCCAAAAAGCAGATACATCCACATGTTCTACACATGAAAAAAGTTGTTATTTACAGAAACATAGGCCGTCCAAGCTACTCCATCGCCATCAAAGCATCATCGTCTAATCACACGCACACACGGATAGAGAAAGGAGATTCATGGAAAGAGAGAAAAATAGAGTAAATCATTACATATCTTGAAAAAGAGAGTAGAGATTTTTTTTTTTTTTTTTACACAAAGAGCTTCTTAAAAATATGAGTATGTTGAATCCAAAATTATTCAGGAGGCCTGCTTAAGGAATTCTAGAGCTGAAGGATGTGTGTGTGTGTGTGTGTGAGAGAGAGAGAGAGAGAGCAACAACATAGTAATGAATACTAAATTTGCATAACCTAGGGATGGATCATCATACAATTACATACTAAACCCCTAATATGTAGATGCGGCGTGGGCATTTCAGTCCATACATAAAAATGGCCCATGGGGCCCATGGATTTGGTCTGGCGTTCGTCGAGCCGGTCGGCCATCAAGTCGGGTGGTCATGGTCCCGTGCGACCCGACTAGTCGAGCGGCCGAACTACGATTAGGCTGGGCAACTGCAAGGCCGAATGGTCGTGAGGTCACGCAACGCATTTTTGACGGTTCACATAAATCCTTCTGAAACTGGATGATCCATTTCCCTTTCCCGGTTTGTCCGGGTTGGAAAGCGACGGGCTTATTTGAGTGATTCTGGTCAAATGAATTCTTCAAGAAAGATCCAACCCTTACCTGTCTGAGGCGTACCGTCTTTGCACAATCTATTTTCAGATTCAATCATATGCCACCGCATGTCAACAGAAGATGAAAGATTCAAAATAGAAATTGAACCATCTTCAGATTCAATCATATGCCACCGCATGTCAACAGATGATAAAAGGAAAATAAATTGGGTTAAAATTTCTCACAGAAATTTGGTTGAAAATTTTTTGACAAGAGTATAACATAATGTTTAAGAAACATTTACATACATACCACACAATTCTCATGTACTTAATATCAACTTTTGATAGAATTGGCTTGATGACTTTTTCCTTTCATTCCAATAAATAACAATTTGTACAATCTATTTTAGGTAATCTAATAGTACATATTCTTAATCAAAATATTCAGCTATAAGGAAAGAATATGTACAATTAACAAGAGAGGAAAATCAAGAGCAATTTAAATAAGGAAACTCTGCCTGATTTCTGTCATTATTGATTGATACTGAAATATCTAGCAACTAAACTTCCATCTTTAAATACATAACACTCAAATCTTTAATATTACATAAAAAATGCCACTATTACTACTCTTTTACCAGTGAAAAACATATTTTCCCACATAAACTTATGACATCAAAGTGCTAGATATGTAAATACATGAGAATTGTGTGATATGTATGTAAAACACATTACTAAAATATTATTTTTTTAGATCAAACTAGACATTTGTTTTTAGGAAGATTTACAAAACATACCACTCAATTCATGTGTATTTACATATCTAACATCTAGACCTCAAATGGTTAGAAAAATGTTTAGATATGTGCGCAACAAAAATTTTAATTAATAAATAACCAGAAGGAAATATTATCGTTGATGTTTCATCAAGAATATTTATCATCAGACACAGATCACGATGCATTTTGAGTAAGAAATATTTCTAAATTCACATTCAATATCCCTTGATCCCTGATTTTAACAAATTTATAGTCAAACAAAGTGTCTCAACAAGAAAAATCAAAAGGCATTGAAAGTGATTCAGCCTGAATGCAATGAAGCCCAGATCAAGCATTTGAAGCGCAATTGGAAACAAGAATTAAGATCCTATAGTAATTTAAAGCTGTCAAATTGGCTAATTGGCATGATGCAGATCAAATCCTGCATAAATGCTGCTCAAATCTGGTTACCACAAAGCTTTTAAGGCTTCTTTTGGAGTCCTGAAGATACAAAGAAGCGCAGAAATAAAATGGGAGTTGGAAGCTGATTCAGCTTTGTTCAATTTCCAAACAGAACCAACTACCATTTTTTCTGCCACTGATGCATGAATGCTACAGTTACCTAAAGCTGCAAACGAACCGAGCGTTCAATAAGCTAATGACAAAAAAAAACTGCCACAAACAGGTCATTAAATTATTAAGTTTTATTTTGAGGGTGAAGCGATACTCTCAACTGACCCATCAACTAACAAGTTGTTTTTGGAGGATAAAACATTACTCAATTAAACACAACATGGAGTTCATGCCTCATTAAACCTTTGCAATCAATAAAAAGATATTTCAACAGCTCTACAGGAGAGAAGAAACCAAAAAAAATTTAAACTGTCAGAAAACTGCAAGAAACTAAGACTTCAAAAGCTTATTTGGTTGCATGAAGACATGGTTGCATGAAGACACAAAAAAGCACAAGTGAAGAATCAAAATCTCAGATTTGTCTTTGTTCCATCAAAAAGTATATAGCCAACCAGTAGCACATAAATACAACGGTTACCCTCAAAGACGTGGGCCATCCAAGCTGTTTCATGGACCAGGCATGTAGGGCTGCCAAAATGGTTCATTGTTCACGAACAACTCCTGTTCAACTTATTACAATTCGTCCGCTAAGCAAATGAGCTGAAAATAAACTTTTTTTTTACTCAATATATAAACGAGTTAAGCGCGGACAAAGATTTGTTTGTCCGTGTTTGACTCATGTTGGTTCGAAATAATATATATAATTGATGAGTATTATTTTTAAATAATTTAATTGACTACAGACTACAAAGATTTATAATCAATTAAAATTATTAATTTAAAAATAGAATAAAACAATATTAATTCTATTTAAATGAATATTTTAATATAAATAGCAAGATCTAGAACTTGCCCTACCCTTAACATCCTACAACTATGTGAATGGGGCTGTCAAAATGACTCGTTGTTCACGAACAGCTCGTTTGGCTCGCTAGGCTCGCTAGGCAAACAAGTCGAACAGAAACAAATTTTTTGCGCTCGATATATAAATGAGTCGAACCTGAACAGTGGAATTTTCTAATGAGTCAAACACAAGAAGAGCCTGGGTTCGCTCAAGCTCAGCTTTTTCATGCAGCACCACGAGAAGGAATCATATGGCACTACATGGCAGGCATAATCGCCTTCAATGCTGCATTTCACTTTCATCATTATATATATGCATCTAAGCATACATAAATATATAGAGGGAGATATTAAAAACAATGGGGAGTTGAAAGCTAAAATTCACCTCTACTCCATCCAGAAGTTGAACCAACCACTCCATTACAACGTAATATTGAAGAAGCATTAATATCTCTGAACCACTATGAAATCCAATCCAAATAGACCATCCGTCAATGAGATTCTAATCGAATAGAAAGAAAAGGAGCAAGTCACTCAATATATGTCGTGAACTAATGACTTGGCGATTGTTTGGCAACATATAGATTTCAAAACTCAAGCAGGTTATAGTAAATCCTGCGCAGGATAAATCCCATCAAGGTATTTAACTCCACAATGTAAATCATCTAAATGTAAATCTCATGAGCAAGCTCTTTTATTATGAAAGAAAGAAAACAATATTATTTGAAGCTCTAGTTATAAGAAAATAACAAATATAATACGCGGTTAAGAAATAATTAATAAAAAGTCATTTGATATAAAATATTAAATATCATTTTTTCAAGCATTTTTAATAATTTAAAAAATGAAGTTTTCATTTTTAATATATTTTATATTAATACTTTTTAAACGGGTCGGCACTTCAAGCATTAATACATAACCATCTGAGTTTGATACTAAATTATTTTGAAACATCAGCATACAAATCATCCAAAGCCAGGATAAAAAAATTAAAGAATAAAAAAACCTAGACAGATTACAACACCAATATTGCAAACTAAGGCCTTAATTGGTTGCTGGAAAATAAAGAAAAGTGAGAAGGAAATGGTACATTTGGATTGGATTTCTAACAAAGTCACGTGGACACAATGGTTACCCGCAGAGATAGGTCATCCAAGCTGCACCATTACCATTGCCTGACAAAAGCAGAGATCCCTGAAGTACCAACGAAAGGAACAAAATCTCCCTGCATGTTTTGTTTAAACTTTTTTTTTGTTAAAAAAAAACATGCAAGGTGGTTTCGTAAGAAATTGACTACCACACTCTAGCAGATGTATTTTATAAGAAATTCTCTCCATGAAATTTTTGAAAAACTCAAAAAAAAAATACAAACAAACAAAAGTGAGAAACTTGCCATAAGCAAACACTTTAAATAATGAGTTTTATTTGAGGGTGAAGCGTTAATCTGAACAGACCATTATACTAATTTGTTTTTTTTTTGGAGGTGAAGCATTACTAAAAATTTAAACAGAGAAACGACTTCAGGTCTCAATCATTCCTTGGCATCAATCTCTGGAACATTAAACAACTCTACCGAAACAAGAAAAAAGACAGACTATTATATGCTTAAGGAACTCAATGGGTTACTGGAGAATCAGAACATCAAATTCATGCCTATTACATCAACTTACATATCCAACAACTCCCTAGAGTTGGCTCATGGAAACAACGATTACCCTCAAACACGGTCCGTCCCAACTGCTCCATTGACATGACATGAGAAGAGTGTTGAAATCTAACGGACCAAAAAATGATTGCCTTTGATAAATAACAGAGAGAGGCTACCATATTAGAAAAGCCACAAAATCAGTCACAAATTCCCCATGCTAAATCAGAAAAAAAAGAAATTACAACTTAACAACAATAACAAGCTCAAGTTGGTATATTTGCTTGCAAGTAAGAATACATGGTGCCCAACATGCTTTTAAGTAACTCAAAACTAGGCCTAAAAAGTCCTTTAGCGACAATATGTGCCATCTGTAGAACAGTAAGAATAAATGGTATGCATATAGCTCCACAACCAAGCTTATATTTTATGAAGTGCCTATCAATCTCCACATGATTTGTGAGATCAGTCAGTACTAGATTTTCTGCAATGCCTATGGTTGGCTTTATTGACACAACACAACTTCATTGGCAAATTTATAGTGATCCATAGTTCTTCAAGAATTATTTTCAACCATAACATCTCACATATTCCATTGATCAAAGCTCTATATCCATCGGCACTGCTCCTCGCAACCACATTTTATTTTTTACTCCACCATATAACCAGCTTTCCCCAACATAAGTACAGTATGCGGAAGTCAATCTCCCATCAATGGTTGAGCCCGCCCAATCTACATCGACGGACATCTCTATGTTTTGTTCTGCGATTTTTTTTAAAGAGTAGGCCCTCGTCTGGCGTACCTTTTACTACGGAGTTTTCTTTGGAGAGTGAAACAGCACAGATAAGCTTATGGGGCAATTGAAAACATATCACTTGAAACATTGCTATTTACAAATCTAGCACCCTCTTTCATCCATTAGCATACTGCACTAAGTATAATATTATAATATGCAAAATTCAAAGCCAAATTAAAAAAAAAGAGAGATGGAAACTAAAACATATTACAACTTCGGCTAAGTTGTAAACATCAATCCACTTTAACAACCCAGCTTGTTCCATCAAAAAGAGCCGAAAAGCAGATACATTCTAACAATAACACTGGATGCAACGGTTACCTGCAAAAGCATAGGTCCTCCAAGCTTCTCCACCATTGCATCATAAAAGCAAAAATTCCTGAAGCACCGGACGGGGATAAGTTTGTCTTACATGTAGAATTTAATCATCAAAGCCTAATCACACACACGCGCGCGCACACAGAAATTCCTGGAATTCTTAGACAAAAATGTTTTGAGTATATCATAATTCTTAGAATTGCAAAAGAAGACTTTTGTCTTACTCTGTTTCCGTGGTGTGCCTAAACTGTCCAAAAGAGGTTTATTTCTTTTTTTTTTGGGTTGAAAAAGCAGTAGGGGCATTACCCATCTGGTTTTGCATAATACAAAGCCAAGTATTTCAAGACTCAATCATATGTCACTGAATACCAGCACAAGATAAATGAAAAAGAAATTGATGCTGATTTTTGACCGATTAAAATATAGATCATAATTAATAAATAACAAAAGAAAATTTTAACATTGAAAGCCTCATAACACTTGTAATTAGCCAAAAATTCCCACATTATGTTCATTTGCACAAATATGACTAAAAAACCATTTTGGTCAAAACTACGGCAGAACTAAAGAAAAATAGCAACATTTAGTATGTGAAGAGTTTGTAGCACCAAAGTGATATAAATGTAAATATAAAAATTTAGGCGTTGAACATGTAAATACAAAGAAATTATGTGGTAACATTGAAAGGCTCATAACTACTGTAATTAGCCAAAAATATAGATCTTAATTAATCAATAACAAAAGAAAATTTTAACATTGAAAGCCTCATAACACCTGTAATTAGCCAAAAATTCCCTCATTATGTTCATTTGGACAAATATGCCTAAAAATCCATTTTGGTCAAAACTACAGCAGAACTAAAGAAGAATAGCAACATTTAGAATTTGAAGAGTTTGTAGCACCAAAGTGATATAAATGTAAATATAAAAATTTAGGTGTTGGACATGTAAATACAAAGAAATTGAGTGGTAATGTTAACAAAGCTCCGTAAAATATTTTATATTAAATAAAAAAATATATATATATATAAATTCAAAGGCATGCATGTAAATCACTTTTTTTTTATTTCTTGAAAAGTTTAATAATAGCCTAACTCGTCATTTCGGAAATAAAAAATCATTCTCATCATAAAAATTCTAAAAATCAAGAAGAAATTTACACCCGAACAAAAGTGAGAAAACTGACATAAACACACCTGAATAAAAAGTATCTTTGGAGGGTGAAACATTACTCGTTTTTATGAAAATATGGATCATTCAACAACAGAAAAGAAGCCAAGGTAGGATTAAACTTTGACTAAATTGCTAGAATCTACACAAATGAAGGGCTCATATGGTTGCTTGAAAATATTAAAAAATGGGGAGGTGAAAGTGGAATCAGAAGCTCAGGTTTGCCTATGTTGAATCAAAAAGAATATCCACCAACCAGTTCTCTATCAGGGACTCATGGAAGCAGAGAATACCTCAAAAGCAAGAGCCTTCCAAGCTAATTGTAAATACTTAAGAATTGAGTGGTATGAAAGTAAATCCCCCATCTTAATTTCATTTCACGTCTCCGTATTGAATATAAAAAGACATTTTCAGAAAATTTGAGGAAAAAAATATGGTGTGGCATTTAAAACAGATGGAAGGGCTTCTTCTCTGACAATGGCACAAAGATGCAGCGGTTACCTATGGATGCACAGGTCATCCAAGCTGCTCCACCATTGCATAAGAAAATGAAAGATACATGAAGTACCTTGAGCATGAATAACATCGCTTTCCATGTTAAATTTAATCATCATCATCAAATCTCTTAAATACACACAGACGGGGAGAGAGAGAGAGAGAGAGAGAGAGAGAGAGATGGACTTTCTACGCCTTAGAATAGCTCAAAGTTGAAGAATATGGCAATACTTTTTTTCTTGTAGAAATATATCCAAAAGCTTGTTTTGGGCTACAAGCAAAACTAAACTTTAGGTTCTAGATATGTACATACATAAGAATTGTGTGGTATTTATGTGAATGCCACCAAAAAGAAACCAATATAATCTTCAATTTTAACTTAGTTGCAAAAATTATACATTTTGAAGCACTCATATGGTTGCTAGAATATATAGAAAATTGCAGACAGAAACAAGGTATCAGAAGCTTAGATTTGCCACTGTTCTAGACGCGCTAAATATATAACTATATAAGAATTAAGAGGTATGCATGTACATCTTCCTTATTTCATTTCACTATATTCTTTTTAATCTAAATAAAAACCTTTAACAAAATTAGGGGAAAAATACAGAGTATCGTTACAAACATCATGGAATCAATGGTTATTCAAATAGACGCTCTAATAGGCATCGGCGGTTTAAGCTACTTGATTGCCATTGCATGAAAAGTACAAAACTATGTAGCGCCACAAAAGAAAAAAAAAAATCTTACAGTGCCATCACCTTTGATGATGAATTATGCATGCAAAGAATAGTCATTATGGGCCGACAGAGATGTTAACAAGCCAATGGATGCAACCATAGCCTGCTTATTTAAAACCTAGGAGCCGAGTGCCAGCTGTCACATCGATCTGACAATGTTAGACTAAATGTATTGCAATATAGTGTCTTTGTAACCTGACAAGGGAGGGAGAGACCATCTCAAACCCTATAAATAGAGATGATCACCTACTCTTGCGAGGATCTTTCTCTTTTCTTTATGAAAACAGTGTGCATTCTAGCTCTCTGGGCTCCTTCCATATGTCTTAAATATCTAACACCTACAGAACAATGGTGAATCCAAGCCTTTAACTCCCCATTTCTTTCTGCAAATTTCAAAATATTCTAGCAACCATATGAGTTCTTGAAAATTCATAATTTATAAACTAAGTCAAAATTAAAGTTTGTATATTATCTCCAACAGTATATATATATATATATATTCAGACGAAAGGGTCGGAGGCTATGCTACGAGCCTCAAACATCCCTCATGCACCTATAATTCGAGTACCACACCCTATACTTGGGGGGAATCGAACCCTAGACCAAAGGGAACTTACAACTGACAAGCAATTGCCCGACAAATATGTATGTATGTATGTATGTATGTATGTACGTATGTATGGATGCATGGATGCATGCATGTATGTATGTGTGTGTATTTTGTTTTTCTTTTTTTAAAATATAATATAAAAACGATGGTCGCGCCGGCGAGAATCCCTCCTAACACAAATTATGATGTTCACTCTCCCACTCGAGGAGATGATAAGCAAGTGTCGAACCCAAGTGCAATGGAAGTCATGGGCTTAGGTGAGAGTCCTTTATGATCAACCCTACACCTCGTTCAGTTAAGTATATCTCCAAAAGTATATATATATAGAGAGAGAGCAAGCGAGAGAAAGAGAGAGTAAAATGTCAAAATAGTCCCCTCACTACTCAGATGAGGGCATTTTAGTCCCAGAGTTTATAAAAGTGCTAGAGAGCCATTGAAAAAGCTGCCACAAAAGAATATAAGCCAACTTTTTTCCTTCATTTGGAGTAAATCAACTCTTAAGCATTAATACATAACATATGAGTTCAAGCCTATATATATATATATATATATGTATATGTATATATATATATATAAAGAGAGAGAGAGAGAGAAAGATAAAGTGTCAAAATGTCCCCTAACTATTTGGATGATGTCATTTTAGTCCCAGAGTTTATAAAAGTTGTAGAAAACCATTGAAAAAGCTGCCACAAAAGAATATAAGCCAACTATTTTCTTAATTTGGAGTAAAGCACCTTTTAAGCATTAATACATACCATATGAGTTCAATCTAATATATATATATATATATATATATATTGTGAGAGAGAGAGAGAGAGAGAATTTAGTGGAATGCATGTAATTCGCTTTAATTTCATTTCACTTCCTTTATCCTAAAACTAAAAAATAGAAGAACTTTAGATAATTAGGAAAGAAAATAAGATTACCAATCAAAATATCATTGAATCAGACGTTACCATCATAGATGCCCTCAAAGGCATGGGCAGCCCAAGTCATTTCATCGCCATTGCATGAATAAAATACATATCGATGCAGCACCACAACAAACAATCATATGGAACTATATGGCAGCCATGATCACCTTCAATGATGCATTTCATTTTTTACCAAGTATATATTTATATATATAGCAAAGAAGATGATGTGGCAACTGAGACCCACTAAGAGCCGTTCTAGAGTCCACATTTACTCTCTCGGCTCCTACTAGCCAGAAGAAATCTGACTCCATGACGGACAAACTTCAACAATCTGTTGACCTCATTTTGAGGTCATTACTCTTTTCCTTAGGATCCTAGGATCTAGCTCTAGGGGTCCCTATTGACTATCTTAGAAAACTAGTATTGGAATCCATCCCCTAGAAATTCCATAGAAATTCCAGCCACTTCCTATTTCTCTTGTGATGTCTCGCATTGATGATCTCAAAACCATTGTCGTATGGTCGAGTGGTTAAGGACTATCATGTGGAGACTCGAGGGGAAGTTCTAAATAGGATCTCAAGCCCTAAAAAAACCTCTTCAGGACTTTATCATCACACACACACACAAAATGCACAAAATTCACTAAGTTGCACAAGATCGGACTAGAATTGAGCTTAAAGAATGTGTGAAAATGCAAACTTCTCTGGACAACATCCGATGACGAAATGGACTGCGCCAACGCGTCCGGGACATCAATTTTAGCTAGGAAAGACACCCATTTTCCATAATTTTGCACACGAGAAAATTGCACGCAAATTGATGAATTTGTCAAAACGACCTCCGAAGACGAAATGGACCGCGCCAACGCATCTGGAACGTCAAAATTACCTAAAAAGAACATCCATTTTGTTATGATATGACACATGAATAAAAAATGTACAAATTAAATATTATTTTGGAAATATTAAATATTTTTATATTTATATCATTAATTATAATAAAATTTATAATCCTAAACCCTATTTACCCCCTTTTGAAGCACCAACTTGCTCCACCAAAAAGAGGCGAAAAGCAGATACATTCTAACAATGACATTGGATGCAATGATTACCTGCAAAAGCATAAATCCTCCAAGCTTCTTCTCCACCATTGCATCATAAAAGCAACGATTCCTGAAGCACCAGCACACACACACACAGAAATTCATGGAATTCATAGAAATGAATTTTTTTAGTACATCATCATTCTTGAAATTGCAAAAGAAGGCTTCTGTTTATCGAATAGAGTTTTTTTCTTTTCTTTTTTTTTTTTTTTTGTTGAAAATGCAGTAGGTGCATTACCCATCTGGATTTGCTTTTGCATGATACAAAGCCAAGTATTTCAAGATTCAATCATATGTCATTGCATACCAGCACAGGATAAATGAAAAAGAAATTGGTGTGAATTTTTTACTGATGAAAATATAAATCTTAATTAATCAATAACAAAAGAGAAATTTAACATTGAAAACATCGTAATACCTGTAATTAGCCAAAAATTCCCACATTATGTTCATCTGCACAAATATGTCTAAAAATTTAGCAACATTTAGTATTTAAAGAGTTAAAGAAGAATAGCAACATTTAGTATTTAAAGAGTTTGTAGCAACAAAATGATATAAATGTAAATATAAAACTTTAGGTGTTGGACATGTAAATACAAAGAAATTGTGTGGTGATATATGCAAAGTTCCGTAAAATATTTTATACTAAATAAAAAAAATTAAATTTTAAATAAATACATATATAAATTCAAAGACATGTATGTGAATCCCTTTTTTTTTATTTTTTGAAAAGTTGAATAATAGTCTAACACGTCATTTCTGAAAAAAATTCATCCTCACCATAAAAATACTAAAAATCAAAAAGAAATTTACACCCAAACAAAAGTGAGAAAGCTGACACAAAATCACAACTAAATAAAAAGTTTTCTTTGGAGGGTGAAGCATTACTCATTTTTATCAAAATATGGATCGTTCAACTACAGAAAGAAAACCAAGGCAGGCTTAAGCTTTGACAAAATTGCTAGAATCTACACACATGAAGGGCTCATATGGTTGCTTGAAGATATTAAAAAATGGGGACAGATAAGTGGAATCAGAAGCTCAGGTTTGCCTTCGTTGAATCAAAAAGAATATACACCAACCAGTTGTCCACCAGGGACTCATGGAAGCAGAGATTACCTCAGAAGCAAGAGCCTTCCTAGCTGCTCGTAAATACATAAGAATTGAGTGGTATGCATGTAAATCACCCATTTTAATTTCATTTCACGTCTCCATATTGAATATAAAAAGACAATTTCATAATATTAGAGGAAAAATATATGGTGTGGCATTTAAAACAGCATGGAAGGGCTTCTTCTCTAAAAATGGCAAAAAGATGCAGCGTTTACCTGCAGACTCATAGGTCATCCATGCTGCTCCACCATTGCATAAGAAAATGAAAGATCCCTAAAGTACCTTGGACAAGGATAGCATCACTTTCCATGTTGAATTTAATCATCAGCGTCAAATCTCAAACTCACACACACACACACGCACGCACGCAGGGAGAGAGAGAGAGAGAGATGGACTTTCTACACCTTATAATAGCTCAAAATCGAGAAATATGGCCAATACTTTTTTTTTTGTAGAAATATAACCAAAAGCATGTTTTGGGCTAACAAGAAAAACTAAACTTTAGGTTTTAGATATGTAAATACCTAAGAATTTTGCGGTATGTATGTGAATGCCCCCAAAAAGAAACCAATAAATCTTCAATTTTAACTTAGTAGCAAAAACTATACATTTTCAAGACAGCATATGGTTGCTAGAATATATAGAAATTTGCAGAAAGAAACAGGATGTGAGAAGCTTAGATTTGCCATTGTTCCATATGCGTAAAATATGTAACTATATAAGAATTAAGTGATATGCATGTACATCTTTCTTGGTTCATTTCACCACATTCTTTTGCATCTAAAAAAAACCTTTCACAAAATTAGGGGGAAAAAACAGAGTACCATTACATCACAGAATCAATGGTTATTCAAATAGACGCGCTAATAGGCATGGGCAGTTTAAGCTACTCGATTGCCATTGCATGAAAAGTACAAAACTATGTAACGCCGCAAAAGAAAAAAAAAATCTTACAGTGCCTCGTCACCTTCGATGATGCATTATGCATACAAAGAATAGTCATTATCGGCCGACAGAGATGTTAACAAGCCAATGGATGCAACCATAGCCAGCTTCTTTAAAATTTAGCAGCCGAGTGCCAGCTGACACATCCATCTGACAACGTTAGACTAAATGTATTGCAATATAGTCTCTTTGTAACCTGACAAGGGAGGGAGAGAGAGACCATTTCAAACTATATAAATAGAGATGATCACCTACCCTTGCCAGGGTCTTTTTCTTTTCTTTATGAAAACAGTGTGCATTCTAGCTCTCTGGGCTCCTTCCATTTCTTAAATATCTAACATCTACAGAACAATGGTGAATCCAAGCTTTGGATTCCCCATTTCTTTCTGCAATTTTCAATATATTCTAGCAACCATATGAGTTCTTGAAAATTCATAAATTATAGCAACTAAGTCGAAATCGAAGTTTCTATATTATCTCTAACGGTATATATATATATATATATGTATATATGTGTGTGTGTGTGTGTGTGTGTGTGTATATATATATGTATATATATGTGTATGTATATATATATGTATTTTGTTTTTCTTTTTAAAAAATTTAATATAAAAAACGAGGGCCGTACAGGCATGAATCCCTCCTAACACAGATTATGAAGTTCACTCTCCCACTTGAGGAGACGATAAGCAAGTGTTGAACCCAAGTGTAGTGGAAGTTCACGGGCTCAAGTGAGAGTCCTTTATGGTCAACCGTACACCCCGTTCAGTATATTCTAACAGTAAGTATGTATATATATATATATATATATATATATATATATATATATATAGTGAGCGAGAGAGAGAGAGATGGAAAGTGTCAAAATAGTCCCCTCACTGCTTAGATGAGGTCCTTTTAGTCCCGGAGTTTATAAAAGTGCTAGAGTGCCATTAAAAAAGCTGCCACAAAATAATATAAGCCAAGTTTTTTTTTTTTCATTTCGAGTAAATTACCTCTTAAGCATTAATACTGCCATATGAGTTCAAGCCTATATATATATATATATACATATATACACACACACACACACATAATATAACCCCTTGCATTAACCCCTGCAATAACCCCCTAATTATCCCCGCAACCTCCGTGGTTTCACTTCAATAACCACACAATAACCTCCAAGTGGCTGCATATTATTAGAAATCAGCACGTAGAGCTACGTCCGGAGCCCGTGCAGAAAATTTTTCGCTGCCAGGGAGAAGTCAAAATTACGCACCTACATTTTCTCTACCAATAGCACAAGCTTGCAACGGTTACCTATCGAATCATAGGTCATCCAAGCTGCTCCATCATTCCATGAGGAAAGCAGAGATCCTGGAAGCACCACTAACATAAAAGTAAAATTTAGGTGTTACATATGTAAATACATAAGAATTGTGTGGTATGTAAATTCAACGGAAAAGAAACTAAGCCTAGAACTTTGACTTGGATGCAATAAATTATACATTTACAAGAGAGCTCATATGGTTGCCGAAATATATAGAAATTGCGAAAAGAAATGGGGAATAAGAAGCTTAGATTCACCATTGTTCTATAGAAAACCATATACACTAATTAATTAATTGTAAAAATTTCTTAAACAAATTATTAATTAAGTAGTATTTTAATATTAATTAATTATTGATTAATTAATAATTACTTAGAATTTTATTAAATAATTTAAATTTTAAAAGTATTTTTAATTATTAATTAACTATAAATAATTACATGTAATTTTATCTAATTGTAAACAATTTCATAATATATTAAATAAGTATTAATTATTAATCAATTAAATTGATAAAATAAACATAGAAATTTGATATTTACAGATTAAACACCAAGATGATTTTTTTTTGAAATACCAAACCGATATATTTGAGCTTCCTTGGTCAAACTATTGAGAATTTGATTAAAATGAAAGATATCGGTTGGGGTTTTACCCTGAATTTTGGCATTTGAGTAAGAATTTGAAAAAATGGTTGAAAGGGGTGCTTGATTTGTGAATAGCAATGTTTCGGGTGGTCTGCATGTAATTGCCCCTAAATTAAAACAACAAACTATTACCCTTCCCCTCTTAGCCCCAACCCCTGGCCTTCATTACTCGCCTCTCTCCGGTGTCCGTATGGAATAATTTTTCCGCCCGTATGGAATAATTTTTCGGCCCAAATACCTTCCCATCCCTGTCCAAACCCTCGCTTATGTCTCTCCCCTCCCTGTACAGAGACCCGAGACTCCCATCTTTCTCATCCTTCGGCTCCGTTCCTACCCGACAGCATACAGGAAGTTTAACTTCACATCTTCCTTCTCGAGAGGCGTCTATCCCAGATTTACTAAATCCAACGAACCACGGGATTTACGGCCTAAATCGGTAAAATCCGGATTCATCAGATCGGCTGTTTTATTTTGTCCAAACTGACCGTCTGGCAATAATTAGGATAAATCCTGCTCTAAATCCGTAACCCGACAGCCCCTATATTTCACTTCCTCTGCTTGAATCTAAAAAAAACTTTTAAAAATTTTGGGGAGAAGATATAGAGCATCATGCAAATCATCATAGAAGAGCAATTAACATGGTAACTGGTAAACCAGCAATCCTAATGAACGTTATCAAAAAATTAAAGAGAAAACAGGGAGTCGAATGTTAAGATTCAGCTCTGCTCGATCCCGAAGATAACCCACCAATTCCTTGATCACAACAACAAAGACAAACGCAGCGGTTGCCCGCAGATGCACAGACCATCCAAGCCGCTTAGCCCGCCATTGCAAGAAAATAAAATCTTGGCAGGATGCTGAAGCACGCACGAAACATCCCTGAAACGGAGCAATTGCTCATGCGATAGATTTCATCTTTCCGTCAAATTAGAGAGAGAGAAAGTGAGACAGCAAGCGGAACCGGCCACAAAGTAATCAGCTGAAGGAGTCGGGCCATTCTCCACACGTCTCATCTCATCCCAAAAGTAACGAGTTAGGGTTTTGATCTCGTTGGACGGACTATCTACCAATTTATTACCCCGCACCGAGTTAGCGGCTCTGATGGCAATGTTTTACCGCATAATGTTGTCTTCAAGTATGATCCGACGGCACAGAAGCGGACACGGCGATTGTTATCTACAGAAGCTGTAATTATTATAATCTCATGGGCAACGCCGGAACAAATATAATTAGGAATAGGTTCGCTTTTGTCTTTAATAAAAATAGAATTCCTCCTTGCTAAGGATATTGGTAAACACATAAAAATTTCTACCCTAAGAAAAGAATGAAACTCTAAATATAATGCATTATATAAATTGATACACCACAAACAAATTTTAATCATTAAACATAAATCTTTTAAGTATGACACGAATTTTGAAATATTTTTTTAAACAAAAAATATTCAAACATTGATGAAAATTTATCCCAAACTTCGATTCCAACAAACTTATAGTCAAGCTGTCGGGGTCTGTTGGAATGGTCTAAAAATACCAAAATTGGTCTAATCCGACCAAATCAAACCTCAATCAAGTCATTACACCATTTTTTGAAGTTTTACGAGCATATTTGAGAGATCAAATGGATGTCAAATACAACGAGCTTATAGTTGAATCGAGCGTTGCGACAAAACAAATCCAAAGAGGCGAAGATCGCTCAATTCTGACATCTTAATATACTTAAATGTCCTTCAAAAACCATCTAATTATGAGAATCGCTCCAGATCATCCGATCATAGTAGTTCATATTCATTTATTAATTGTAACATATACTTTATAAATAACCTAAGTCACACTTAAAAACGGGGGGAAAAACTTGAAGCCTGAAGAAGAATGAACCTTGAAGAAATATTTAAAGTTGTCTTCTTTTACCGCATAATGTTGTAACATAATATCATTACTTTTAAAAACAAAAATGAATTTTAAACCAAAATCTTTGCATCTATTAGATTCAGGTCCATCATCAAGATAATATAGTCTATCTTTTTTCCTTAAAACTTGTTTGCCACCAACTACTTTTCATGATTCAGCATGAATCTTGATGCGTTACGCAGATATTGAGGTTGTTTTTATGTAGAAAATATTCAAATGTTGATTAGAAATCATTCAGAGCTCTGAATCAAGCAAACTTATGTCAAACTTAACGACACAGTGAGATGGTCCCAATGATAAAAAAAATCGGCCTAATCCGAGTTGAATCAATCCCATATCAAGTCATTTTATCACTTTTGGAAGCTTTCATGTCGTGATTGAAGGTCAAATAGTCGTTGAATATGACTTGCTTGTAGTCAAATCGAGTGTCTCAATGAGACGAATCCAAAGAGCCAAATATCGCCCGATTTTGACATTGTTAAGGTAGTCAGATGTCCATCAAAAGTCATCCCGATCAAGAGTGTATTTGATTCATGCCTTAATTAAAATTTAGACTCTATAAATAGAGCCCTAAATCCCTCATGAACGAGGACCTAAACCTTAGGTCAAGAGCATGTAAAGAGCTTGTAGAAGAGGGAGTTGCAGCTCTGCTTCCTGTATTACATATCCAGTCACCGCCACCTCTGGCCAAACGCCTCTTTCATCCGCCGCCTCTTTCAACCGTCGCCACTTCCAGCTGTCGCAATCGCCTCAAGTCGTTGCTTCGTCCAGTCGTCACCACTTTCGATTGTTGTCGCCTCTTATAGTCGTCACCACTTTTAGCTGTCGGTGTCACTGTAGCTTCGGGCCGCTTTCACCACCGCCTCTTCTTGTCACCTCCTCAAGTCGCCACCTCTTATGGTTGTCGCTGCTTCCGGTTGCCACACCTGCCTCGAACAACCTTCATCACCACTTCTTTTGGTTTCCGCCTTTTGTTGGTTGTTGCATCCGTCTCGAGCAGCCTTCATCACTGCCTCTTCTGGTCGCAATTGTCATCGCTTTCTTCCACTGTTGTATCAACCCGCAGTCGTCTACAGCCAACTCTAGTCATCGTAACCTCGAGCTACATTCACTGATGTCTCTTTAATCCATCGCCGCCTTCCCCGATCACCGCCACCTTGGGCCCTACAGTCGCCCGCTCCCCACCATGGAGCAACAATTCCTCATTCTCTTAGTCATTATAACCCGAGAAAATGTATAACCTCTTCTCGTCCGTGTGATAAAAAAATATACCTCTAATCACCAATTTTAAACTACATGGTTCATATTACGAATAGCTTTCGACTCTGGACCCTGTGGCCTACAAAAGTCATCACAGCTCGCACACCACAGACTATGTGACCAACTACTAACTATAAAATTCATAGCTCACGTAACTCCAAATTCTGACCATCGCAACTCATAGACGTAATCATAACCCGCCACTACAACTTGCGTGATTAAATATGTTCTACATGGTTCATAGCTCGTACAACTCCTGACTCCGGCTTTCGTGAATTATTGATGCTGTCACAGCTTGTCACTATGACCTAGGTGGTTCATATCTTGTACAACTCCCCACTTCGACCCCCGTGACCTATGAACGTCATAACAACTCACCACTATGGCCTACGTGATCGACAACGATCTAAAAGGTTCATAGCTTGCGCAGCTCCCGACTTCGGCCCCCACGACTTATGAATGTCATCATAGCCCGTCATTATGGCCTACGTGACCGACTACTGTCTACGTGGTTCATAGTTCGTGCAGCTCCTGACTCTGTCCTCGCGCCCTACCAGCGTGTCAAAGTTCACCACCACGCCCTATATGATTAAGAACTCGTGCAATTTTTTACTTCGACCCTCACGACCTACGTGACCAACTGTAACCTAAATGGTTCATCACTCGTATAACTCTGTACAACTCAAGATATTTTACATACATATCATTTAATAATTATCATACTATCTCTATATTTTTAGTTTTATTTATATATTTTACTATATAGACCACATCCAAAATATTCTAACATTAATTTATTTGAAGTAAAATGTGTATTTTTCACCCATATATTTTGATTTAATTTAAATTGTTATCATAGAATTTTTAAATATATAAGAATTTAGTGGTATCTATGTAAATCTCCAATTAATTTAAGAAGGATTTTAACATATTTTTATTTGAGAGAATTTATATTGATTTTTATTCCACAACAGATAAGAGCAAAGCGTCTCCTTCCGCACGCATGGACCCAGAAAGTGACACCACCGCCACCGCGCCTGCCGGAAAGGTACCTCAATTGCCGTTGCCTCATCAATTGGATCATCAATGGGGCCTTTGGGGATGGGAGCTTCTTCAGAAGCTTCGATCACGAGCCCCGTTAGTCCAGTGCATAACAAACTTCGTTTCAATGGATCTGATGGCCAACGTCCTTCTCGCCGCCGGTGCGTGTCCGGCGATGATCTGGTCGCTGAGGGAGATCTCCGATTTTACTCCTGGCGTCGGTGCTCTCTGCATCAACGTTGGAACCCTCTCCGAAGACGGGCTTTCCTCAATGAGGGCCGCCGCTGCCGTCGCAGCGGAGGCGGCCGGCCGGCCATGGGTTCTCGACCCTGCTGCCGTATCTGCGTCTGATTTTCGGATGGAAGGGTGTATCGGCCTTCTGGAGCTTCGGCCGGCGGTGATTAGGGGTAATGCATCGGAGATTCTAGCGCTGGCTTCCGCGCGTAGGATAAAGAATAGCAAGGTAAGGGATCGAATCAAATAACATCTTTTTGTCACTTAAAATATATTAAATTGATGATGTTAATAGTAATCCACCAATACCTTAAGACCTTCTTTAGCTTCTTTAGCTGGAAGGAGTTCTTCCAGCTGGATGATTTCTTCAACCTGCCAAGCTCATTTCCTGCATGCAATCCTATACACAACAATTAGAATAAAGCATGGATTCAGATTTGTTATTTCATTCACCTGTTAATTGCCACAGCTCTCTCGATATAAACCCATAGAGTATATTTTCCTTATAACAGAATGTGAGAATTGGTTATCTGCAGAGGACAGGCGTACTGTCCTGATTTCATTCGATACATCTGCCCCCTGCTGCAGAGTTGCAGGCAGCCTAACCATCGAAGCTGTAGTTATGATGAATTAGCAAAAATACTTGATTGTCTTGTCACTGCCCCTCAGATTGATAGTCAATAGGAAGAGTTATTTTGCTCTGAAGAGTATGAAATTGAGGTGTTGGAACACTCTTGGTGAAAATATCACCGAGTTGATCACTTGTGTTAATATGATGGACATCAATATGATTAGAGTTTATGCAATCACAAATAAATTGAAAACCTACCTCAAGATGTATTGTGTGAGCGTGAAACACTGGGTAATTAGCCAATGCAATAATTGATACGTTATCACACCATAGTGTGGTGGTATGACTGTCTGCAGGGATTCTGAACTTAGCAAGCAGCCTCTGAATCCATATGAGATCCGCTGCAGCGGTCGCCAGGGCTTGATATTCAACCTCTATGGATGAACGAGCAACAGAAGATCATTGCTGAATTGATCTTTGAAGGGCTGAAATCAGCTTGTTGCCCCCTAACAAACACTTTTTCTTCCTTTTGTTCTGCAGGATTAGTACAGGATTCACGAACAACAAACAATCTAAATCTCACGAAATAGTTTTTCCCACTTTCTTCTCACAATCAAACCTTCTACCCTAACTCAGATTAGGGCTGTGAATTTAGCTCGAAGACCATTAGTCACTCGAAAAATCGATTTAAATTTTGGCTTAGATTGAAATAAACTAGCTAAGCTATGAGCCGACTTTTGAACAAATTTTTTTCAAGCCGATTTTGAGCCATACATGGATCGACTCGAACTAACTATATATGAGCTTGTAGTATTTTTTATTTATGACAATTATATATATAATGCTAAGTAAAATTGAATATAACGAGCCATGAGCTAATTTTGAGCCAATTGTAAATTGGAACGGATCCAATTAACTCAATTTGAGTCAATTGGTTTTAATTTTGAGTCGGATCGAGCCGATTCTGAGCTAAAACAGATCCAAATAACTCTATCTGAGTTGATTCGTTTTGATTTTGAGGCAGATCGAGCTCGATTTAATTTTGAGCCGTCTCGACTCGAAATCAAATATAACTAGTCAAGAGCCGATTTCGAACCGCACTAAATCTATTTGAGCAGACCCCAACTTGACTCGAAATCAGATCGTTAACAACCCTAACTAGGATCAATGAATCCTCTTTCAGGAATGGGCTTTTTTGATACAATGAAATCGTTGTATTGTGCGATTGCCTCAATACTTGGCATTTCTCACTCTAGTTTTGGGGTCATGGATTCCAATCGACAAGTTAAAGACGAAGAAAGCTGCAAAAAACTTAAAGAAAATTAAAGTTAAGACGAAGAAAGCTACTTGAAACTATGAATGACCTTTTGGTCCTCTACCTGCCAGCAATGGATCAAAAGCTTGAAAAAAAAATTGCATGAAAAGAAGGGGCCAAAGGGTTCCTTATATAAGAAAGAGGGTCAACACCGTGGCGCTAAAATGATGGTATTATGGTGCTAAAATGTTGAGAAGGCACTATGGCGCTTGTGAGGAGCGCGACGGTGCTTGTTAGGGCTTATGGCATTCAAGGGTATTGAAGGGATTTAATGCACACGTTGAATTTTGTGTTGATCATCTGTTTTTAAATTTGGGCACAACAATGCTGAGGTGGGGCGCTGCGACGCTCAAAGGGTTTGGATAGAGTGTCAGGATGAAGCCACATATGATGAGGACCTAGCACAGTGACACTAGCATGCAACATTGTCGTGCTGAAAAAAGAAGCAAGAGTGTTGTGGCGCTAGTGAGGGGCGTGGCGGTGTTGAGGCAGAAAACACAAAAAAACAAAATTTGAATATTCATCTTAGGCACACACTTAAAACTAAAGTAAAAAATGCAAACACAAGCAAAATATAACAATATAACATTTAGGTTGCCTTCCAAGTAAGGCTTAGTCTTATGTCAATATGATAAAAATGCTTTTTCAATAGTTCTGGCCAATATCTCAATATTCTTGTTACCCTGGAGAATTTCTTAATTCATTAATTTCAATATTGAATTTGAGTCTCTCTGATTAATTACTTTATCCTCTAAACCTTTATTCAGAATTTCTTGCAGTTTATTAACCTCTATTTGACAACAAATTTAGAAGGATATGTGGTGGATTGAATTTGATTGTAAATCCCATGTCCAATCATTTTAGGACTTTTTAGGATGTAGGGTCCCATATTTGAATTCATTTGATATGGGAGGGACTTCTCTTTCTCTTCTCTTCTCAACTATAAAAAGTTAAGAACTTATGTCTCTTCCCTTCTCTCTTTGTCTTCTCTCTTTCACCTTTTTATTTGCTTATGATTACGAGATGCTTTATAAATAAAAATTATACGAGTCTATATGTTGAAAATTTCACTTTTGTTAATATTATTAACCACCAAAAAAAAAATTTTTTGTTCTTTATTGTAGACTTTTGTAGTGGTATCCCTTTTGTGATAATCTCTTCTGAGACTTTGTGGCAGCATCATTTAGGATTTTCATGTTCAAGAGATCCACTGTTTTCAATTAGTAAAAATTTTGACTCTACATTTAGTAGAGATGATGTCAAGGAGAGACCTGATAGGTCTGGACTTGGCAAGTTAAGAACACACCAACTTGGAGCTCATGGACACAAGATTTTGGGTTAGGAAGAGCTTGTTCAAAAGTTGTCCATTAGGGCCTTGGTGGTCCTAACAAAGGGCGAAAATTGCTTAAATTGGCCATAATGTTGTGCTTAGATTGGTGTTTTGGCAAACTTTTCTAATTATAAACTTGTTTTTTGCCATATAAATTGTTTTTCAGTGCAAGCTAATTGTTTTTATTTTTTATTTTTTTTGTCCCTCTCTACATTCCTGTTCAGTCCCAGTAGTGACTATGGTTCACACCATGGGTAATTAATAAATAGTAATGACAGTTAATACAAGCATTTGGTCTGTAGCTAATAAGATGAAAAAAGGGTTGCCTGGAGTATTATATGAAGATTAGGTTTAATATCTAGTGTAATGTTTATCAAGAACAAATTGAAAATAAGGACTTCTAAAACTAACTACAAATAGTTAGGATAAGGTAATCCAGATTTGTTGAATATTCATTTTTGCAATATGCTTACACAAATCTGTAGTTCTGCACTTGTGTGTTTGCATTGAGAGAGAGAGAGAGAGCACATGTAATTTTTTAGAAATTAGTTAGTGCTCCCAACCATTCAATCATGCTTCTACTAGCAAGGCTATTGTTTCTCCATGTCATGGTGTCGTTATCAGGTCATTATTACACAGGAAAAAGCAAGTGATGCAGATGCTTGTCGAATAGGTTAAATTGTATAAAAATTTTCCCTAATGAATAAATCTAGTCACTTAGGATTCAACGTTATATTTATAATAACTATCATAGGACAATAATGGTTCACGATATCCTAACTAAAATTTAGTCAGAATGAGTTTTAAAACCTTTACATTTATCTTGAGACGAATGGCATGTATGATCAAGAACTCTTTTATTTTACTGATCTCAAAGAATATATAGGGATTGCCGCCAATTTTTCTTAACTATCATATGCCCTTTTGGTTATCTTTTTTATCAAATTGTATTTTATATTTTGATTTATGATAAAGCAAAGCTATTTGATTACAAACATAATGAGAAGGCAACCCAGTAATTTATATATGATATTTGATTGAAGTCCATCGAAAGTTACTAACAGAAACACTTGAAAAAGATTATCAGTTTTCTTGGAACAATAATTCTATTTTATCTTTTAAAAATACTTGAAAATAATATTAGACACATTGCTATCTAACTCTAGTGAATTGTCAGCCTTATACAGTGTTGAATCTCATTTGAACTAGGCATAGCTTTAATATATCAATATCAGTGTTGACTCAAGTAAATGGAGAACGAATGCTATGCATTTTTTTCAGTGAAGTATGTTGTTTTTTCAGAATGAAAAGATGAATTGTTGATTGCCCTTATGATAATGCCAACTGTAACTTTTTTTTATTTTAAATTGTTAAATATGCCTTTTTTAAACTACAATTTTATAGAACAATACCTTTTACACTCTCGTTGTCCGTATTTTCTCCACAATGTCTATAATACATAAGAAACTCTGCAGATACAATTGTGTTTATTATGCGGTTTGTATTTATATTTTCGCACGTTGTTATGCTTAAATGTATATATTTATTGAAAAAAAAAATCCCTAAAATGACTGATCATGAAATACCATGAAAAATCAGAAAGACTTCTTCACCATCCACTCAAACTCCCACTAATAATCCTCAATCCCCAAATAAATTTTTTTTTCCTGTCATGTAAGCATTCATATCACCAATGATAATAATAATAATAAAATGTGTGGAATTATTTGGTGAGTATATCATACTTCCTTATGGAATGCCAAAAAAGCATCTTTTGTATTCTTCTATATCACGCCTGAATCATTGGTAATGATAAAAACCTCTGTACAGGGAGCAGACAGCACGCATAAATCCTCTGATGCTTTCGAAGCTGCAAAATCTCTATCTCAATCCAGTGGTGCCATTGTTGCAGTATCAGGAGCTGTTGATTTCATAACAGACGGCCGTATAGTAGTTGCCGTCCAGAATGGTGTTGCTATGCTGCAGAAGATCACTGCAACCGGCTGCGCCGTCACAGCCCTTATTGCCGCCTTCATTGCAATTGAGCAATCAAATATTTTAGAGGCAACGGCTTGTGCACTCTCCATCTTTGGGGTTGCAGCCGAGTTAGGCATGGAAAAGGCTACAGGACCAGCATCTCTTAGAATGCATTTGATAGATTCTTTGCATGGGCTTAATGAGCATTTGTTGGTCCCCAAAATGTGCATTATGAGGGTTTATTAACGGCTACTTTCTTTTAAATTTGGCTTCCAATGAGAGAGATATAACAAAGTTGCTGGCTTGAATCGAAGCAATATTTTATATGTGAAATTGTATATTTTAGATTGACTCAAGTATGTGAATTATCTGTGTTTGTGGCCTACTTTTATTTTTTAGAACAGTACATAATGCTATCGTTTCATGTGAATTGATCAGTACTTGGCAAGAAACACCATATTCCCGGAACTATATTATTGTGAAAAAACTGTCAGGGGCTCTCAGTTTTCCAGTAATTAAACCTTTTTATGTTATAATCTAATGCTTAAGTTTAAGAGTTATATATGTAAAAATGTAGAAATTGAGTGGAATGTATGTGTATATGAAAAATATGCCATCACCAATCTCAAGGAAAATGAATCGCTCGGGCGAACTGATCAGACATAACTATTGACAGACGAAGGAGTGGCTGATTAGCGAAAAAGCCTGGATTGAGCGGTTGGGAGAACGAGCCAAAGAATTCCCTATAAGATGACGAGTGGCTCTGAGGCTGATTGTCAGATTACTCGGCTTTAGATCAAGTATCAACAGTCGTGGCGGGAGAAGCGGCTGACAAACTTCTTATCGACCAAATCAATCCGTCATTCTTATTATATTTGAATATAATTTGTAATTACGAAAATGCGCCTTTAAAAAGTTAATAATAAGATGATTGATTTGTAATTTTGTAAGATTGAGACCTAAAGCTAGGCTAAAGCTCGCAAACCCATTGAGTTCGAAACTTCATTTGAAGTTGAGTACACGCTTCGACCGTCGTCTCCTCGAGATCTAGGGGAGTTGTGGCCCCCACAGCAGCCTGAATGAATATTCCTCCCCCTTGAGCAGGAACAACCCCTCTAGTTTCTTCCACACATTTCTCCTACAGTGAGCCTACGAAGAAACCCAAAGTCCCAATTCAATCGTCCTTGCATAACTCCCCTATACAAATTTCGCTCGCCGACTTCCGCTTCGTGTTTGGTTTGCGAGCTTTAGTCTGCAAGATGCTCATGGTCTTAAAAAGTGTCCTTATTAGCAGGGAGGAAAAGAGAATGAATACCCACACTTCCCATATCTCATAGCTTATTTATAATGGTCTACACGAAAATTCAGGCAAATACATTATCGCGCAATAATGTCATTTAATTGTTATTTATGCGTTAAAAAGATTCTATTATCCTTGTGTGCTTTGCAGTTTCCAAAGAACACGATAATTGCAAAACTAAATATGTATATAAAAAATATATCAACACGAATCTCAAGGAAAATAATGATTGGGATAAAATTAACTACCAATTGAACATACCGACGAAAAAAGGAGTGGATGATTAGCCACCTGGATCCAGTCACCGAGGAGAATGTGCCAAACAAATCCCCATAAGATGACGATCAGCTCTCAGACCGACTAGTGGATTACCAAGCTTCAGATAATGTATCGACAGTCATTGCGGGGGAAGCGGTGGATAAACCTCTTACGGATCAAATCGATCCGCTATTCTTATTATATTCGAATAGAACTCCTCTAAAAGCTACTAATAAGGGGATTGATTTGTAATTTTATATGACTGACCCATTCCTACAAATAAGCAGTTCATATCATAAACAAGGACTAAACATTCTTACTGCTCTTTATTGTATTTTCTCCTACTTTCCACTGAAAAAAGCTCTATACCTTCTATTTGTTTCCTGGGCACCCTGATCCAAGCTAACAGTATGAAAACTTCCTTTTTAATTTTATGTGATAATTTACAATGCAAAACGTTGTATCAATACATTAGTAATTTTTTTAATATTAAAATCATTATAAAGATGAACCTCATGCCTTCGATTAAATCTCAATAGATTTTGCTTTTATAGTTTTATGTATTAGACAAAAGTTTATCTCTTGCTTTGTATTAAACAGAGAAGCTTTACTGTCATTATTATGCAAAAGTAAGAATGTTATCCAATTTTACATGAAAAATAAATTTATTAGTTCGTCTAATTAGTGTTTGGTTTTAGTGTACAAAAATCTGATTCACACAAGTAAATCAACTGCAATAAAATCTCTCTTAATTTTTGCTTTCCACAATGAAAGCTTAAAGAGCATAAGCACAGCATCTGGAAAATATAAAACAGTAACAAACTGCTGCCTCATTACCACCAGCCCTCCTATCCGCTGTTTTTTCATCTCCGCTGGATTGTCGAAGACCTTCCCTTGAGTGGGCTCTCTCGTATGATAAGCTTCTGTATTGAATCAGGTATTTTTCGTATAATTCAGGCATTCTTCTGATGAGCTTCCAGCTGAGTTGCATGGTTGATACCGGTCGACCATACTCGCATCAATTGACTCGGTTAACATGGCTCAGCTAGCTCGATAGGTCCTGTAATCTCCTTGAAGGGGGATCTCCCTTCATCATGTTTCCTCATCTGCATCAATGGATCGCTGTTAGATTTACACTGAACTTTTTGGATATGTGTGTCTATATATATGTGCGTGTATGTATATAATTTCTTTAAAATAAGGAAATAGAAATAATTACATACAGTACAGCAGAAGTTCCTCTAAGTTTTCTTTTGAGTCAATAGTTTTTTTCTGGAGTCCACCATCACTGATGTATTTATGCATACCATTTGAGTTTGGGTGTGCCTTAGCTTGCAGCTTTTGTACAAGGATCAATCCAATAAAAAAAAAGGTAAAAAGATAAAAAAACATACAAGCTGCTTCATCGCAATAGAAAAGTAGATCTCTGAGGCATCTAGTATAGGAACAAGAATGCCTTCCATGTTGAATTTAATCATCATCCCGAACAAAGACTATTTAAGCTCCAATATAAAGAGTCCGAGATTAATTTGACACTTTCATATAGTCTGGAATTAAAATGACTCATGTAAATAGTCAGGAGACTATTTTGACAGCTAGTTCAAGAACAAAGTTTTATGCTCCTATTCTAAAGGCCTTTTTTTAAGTAGAACTAAAACTGAATACGATGAATGTAATTTTAATAGCTGCAGCTCTAGTGATAAAATTGTAATTATGGGCGATCGATCTATTAAAGGTGCGAACACTTTAGATATCTTGGGTCCATTGTTCAAAATGACGGTTATATAGATTGGGATGTTATTAGTAGAACTCAAGTCGGTTAAAGTAGACGAATGCATCGGGCCTATTGTGCGATATAAAAGTACCGCTTGGACTGAAAGGAAAATATTACAAAATGATAGTGAGGCTTGCAACACTCTATGGCGCTGAATGTTGACCTTTAAAAGAGAAGCATAAAACTAAGTTGAGTGTTGTCGAGATGAGAATGATTATGTGAATAAGTGACTATTCACTTAAGAGACAAAACGCGAAATGAATATATCCATGATAGGGTTTAGGGTAGCTTCAGTGACAAACAAAATTAGAGAGCCTTAGATGGTTTTGTCATATTAAACGTCAACCATCTGATGAACTGCTTAGGAGAGTAGATGTTTTAGATTTGACTTATGTTAAGAAAGACAAAGGTAGACCTGGAAAAACTTGGGAATAAAAAAATCATCTTAATTTATTAAAATTAAATGAAAATATGACACAATAGGACACAATAGAGAAAAAGGATTCATGTAGCAGACCCCACTTGGTCGGATAAAGCTTTGTTGTATTCAAAAACAAATACATCAACCTATAACTCACGAAAGCAGCGGTCAAACACAAAGGCACAAGCCTTCCAAGAATCTCCATCGCCATAGCACTGTTAGTTCTTTTTAAGAAATATAATAAAAAATTATTGTCAGCCAATATAAATATCAAACAAACTCTAGATTTTAGATATGAAAATAGATGGATCTCACCACTGGTATTTCTTAAAAAGCAGCAGAAAAAAAAAAAGAATTACACAACTTTGGCAAGTTTTGAGTAAGCGAATACAGAAGTTGCCAAAATAGAACCCATAAGAGCTTGTTCACGAGCAATTATCCGATCCTCCCCCTTCTCTCTTTTCTCTTTCTAAATATATATATATATATAAAAAACACGAGAGAGAGAGAGAGAGAGAGAGAGAGAGAGAGAGAGAGAGAGTTATAGGCCACAAAAAGCCAAAAATTGAAAAAAAAATGAAGCATTTGTAATATTTCGTGCCAAACTAAATAAATTTTAGGTGTTGGCATGCAATTATATGAAGAATTAACTGGCATGCATTTAAATCCTTTTTAATTTCATTTGATATTTTATTGAATCTGAAAAAAATACTTCAGAAAATTAGGCAAAAAAATAGAATTACCATTCAGAAAATTAGGAAGGCAATGAGGTCCGAAGGGTGCGAGAGATCTGCAAAATCCTACACATACATTATATACAGGCCTTTCCATTAGCTTCTCATGATGATAATAGAAGATAAAATTGAAAATTACCTTAAACAAAAACGCATAAAATATCATTCATGAGAACCATCAACACCAATATAGGAAAGAAATAATAAATTCCTCACCCTGCACTATTTTTCAGCGATTTTGAGATGATTATTAGGTAACGGTAAAAAAAAAATTGCAGTTCACTGGTAAGCCAATGAAAGAGCTGATACAAGAACCAAGAAACTAACTTCAATCTTGAAAAGCTGCCAAAAATATTATGGTCCAACAGAATTGCGGTATCTTTCTTGTTGAGAAATTAGGGCGAAGAAAAACAGAAATCAACACAAATTCAAAAGAACACAAAGATTTAACGAGGTTCGGGGCAAAGATGCCTACGTCATCGGGAGCAGAACGACGACTTTCTTTCTACTCTAAAAAAATGTTACAGGATATATGATACACCTTAAGGTTACAAACAAGCATCTATATAGCTCTGGAGTAAATCCTGAAGTATAATATATGATACACCTTAGGGTTACAAACAAGCATCTATATAGCCCTGAAGTAAATCCTGAAGTATAATATGTAATTACAAAATTACCCATGTACCGTACCGCGGGGCGTACATAATGAAACTCCCCTGATTGGACAGATTATCCCGCTCCGCTTCGTTCCAGCATCTGTCCCTTATATGGTATATGAGCCATAACTAACATTTTTGAAAATCATTGAAAATGCCGCCACGACAGAACCCAAAACATTGGTGTATATATGTGTGTGCGGATTTGTGAGTGCATGTGTGTGTATTTGTGAGTGCATGTGTATGTAAGCATGTATGTATAGAGAGAGAAAATTGACTTTATATGACTTATAACCCATCTTATCTTTCAGGCCAAGTTAAATATTGAAATTTAGGCATTCGAAATGTAAATACATAAGAAATTTGTGTGATACATATGTAAATCAAAAGATATCAAAAACTTTCTGCAGCTAGCAAATTCCAACATAGTAGAAATTTCAATCATATCACTGAAATTTCTCAAAAAGCAGACAAAATATTACAGTGAAACTGAATTTCGTAACCTTTCTAAAAAGTCATTGAAAATTTGTCCCAATCGTATTCTACTCGAAAGTTGTGAACCACATAATATATCTTTCTTTTTGTATGAATTGCTAAACGCTCATTTTATTGGATGCACTTCTTTCGAAGAAAGTGATACTCCAATACAAATCATCCCAACAACCCCAAAGCCCCCGCATGGGTTACAAACTTGAGCAAATTTTGTAAATTAAAATCAATAAATTTGTCAGCCTTAAACAAACTTAAATCGCAGGTCTACAAGATTTCTTTGGAAAAAGCAACCCATGACAGCTAAAGATGATCTTTCTATGAGGATGGGTCCTCTGAATAAGTAGAGACCAAAAACCAACAGAACCATAGAATCTCAATCGGGTTCAGCACCATCTCCCCCATTATCCACTTTAAGCTCAAAGAGGTAATGGCAAAGATAATTAACCATAAGAGCATCCGCCTCTGAAAAACCTTGAACTCCATATCTAAAAATTCTCACGAAAAGATGAAAAATTTCTGGGTAGTGTCTTATCTTTATCTCATCCACTTAAAAATCTCATTAATTCTCTTAATTTTTTCTTCAAATGGAGGCCAATTTTCGGCTGCATCCAACCATCCATCCTATAATAATTAAGAGGCATGGGGGTATTTCATTTTAGAGATTTCGAAAAAAAGCCTTTCATCGATCCGTCCATCCACCCAATCCTATAATACTCAAGGTTATGGGGGTATGCATATAAAATTTCTCTTTTTATTTCATTTTAGAGATTTAAAAAAAAGCCTTTCAAAAAAATAAAGACAAAAGACGGCGTACCATTTAAAACATCATGGAAGCAACAATTATCCTCATAGGTATGGACCATCCAAGCTGCTGTTCCAATGCCAATGCATGAGAAGAATCCAAATCTATGCAGCACCACAATAAATAAATAAATAAATTCTACATCTCCATATGGCATGCATCATGGCCTTCAAAATGCATTTCATTATCATTAGGAAAGAGAGAGAGAGAGAGATCTGACTCTATTAGCCTCATAATGGTCAAAGCTTAACAAACAAGAATTGTAAAGGCTAACATAAAAATCAAGGTTTGCGAATTAGATATGTAAATACATAGGTACATCGAAAGATCAACAGTTTTCCTCAGCTAGCATATTCTAACATTGCACAAGGTTCAACTCACCATTAAAATTTCATAAAAAGTCAAAAAATTACAGTCAAATTGAATTGTGGTAAGTTTCCAAGAAAATCATTGAAGCAGTAGCCCCGGAAGAACCCATAACATCTGAGTATATATATAATGAGAAAATAAGAGAGATAAATTTGACCTTTTATGCTTCAGAAAAGCCAAAATAAGAAAAATGAAGCCATCTCAATCTTTGACGCCTGCATAAATATTAAAACTTAGCGATAAACATGTAAACATATAAGAATTAAGTGTGATGCATGTAAAATTTCATTGATATATGGGAAAATTTACATATATGCCACACAATTCTTATGTATTTATATATGTAACTCCCAAATTTGATATTTACACTTTTAAAACTTTGATGTCATAAACTCGTGGAATTTTTGACTTAATGTTAATAATTTGAGTGATATGCATATAAAATATATGTAAAGATATAAGAATTGTGGAATGTATAGTGTACACAAATTCCTGATTAGAGAACCTAGCCCATTTTTTCAAAATGACCGAACTGTCGATCACCAAACAAGCCAAACCGATCATGAAGATTGAGAATAATCAGACCAAATGAAAAGGGTTCAACTCAAGTAGGTTCTAGTAAATCCATTGTAGGGTATATCCATAACGGTATTTAACCCAAGTAGACCATCGTAAATCATCTGCATGATAAATCCATTAAGATAAATAATAACAAGGAAAACAGACTATCCAGATGGGGAGAGAACTCAAGACTTTGCATGAAAAATGCCATAAAAAAGCTAAAATTGGAAAAATGAAGCCATTGTAATTCTTCACGCAAAAGTTTTTTGGCATGTAAATGGATAAAAAAATATGGGGCGTGCATGAAAATACTCATAAATATCATTTAACTTATTAAATTAAATAAAGCCACAAATCAACCTACCTGTTACCCACTCCAACACGAAACCATTTTGGAAGGCAACGCTTATCTTTGTCCCCCTTCCTTCCATCTGCCTTTAGGCCCTTCAGCTTCACTGAATCTGATAAAGCAGTCTCCCAACAGAATTTACTAAATCCAGGATTTATAGCAAAATGGAGGAAAAACAGGAGTCAAGAATCTGCAGAAATTAAAATTGCCATTAGATTAAACCCTGCTCAATTTCTGCTACCAAACAGCCCCACAGCGTGCAGAATGCGTTTCAGCTTCTCCAAATCCGATAAAGCTGTCTCCCAACAGGATTTACTAAATCCAGGATTTATAATAAAATGGAGGAAAACAGGATTTAAGAATCTGTAGAATTTAAAAATGCCATTAGATTAAACCCTGCTCAATTTCTGCTACCAAACAAGCCCCACAGAGTGCAGAATTACTCGTGTATGCATACAGAGCAATAGAAAACCTGTTTGAGAAAAAGTGGGAAAAGAAATGAGAGTTGGAGGGCTCAGAATCATCACTGTTCAACACCAAAGCAAATCCGCTGATCAGCACTTCACTGTTAACGCGCAAAAGCAATGGTTCCCTTCATATGCATAGGCCGTTCAACCTGCTCCAGCGCCGTCACAATTCTTAAGTATTTCCTTTTTCCCCTTTTTTTATTTAATTTATTGCACACATAAATACACAAAATATAATAATGAAAGAAAGCTTACGTATTCATATGTATTTAGATATCTAACACCCAAAGTACTGAGAGCAAGTGTTAATGATCCAATCCATGATTGGGCCAACAAACCATTATGCCATCGGACTGACGATCAAGGCAGAGCATAACAACAGAGGAGGAGCAGAGACGTGGCAGAGACGTGGAAGAGCAAGAGGGCGTAACTTTTTGTTTAAATCTTATCAATGTATTTTTACATTCTTTGTACAGGGGTTAGACATTTGCTATTTTTGTACATAATGGTCTATAGCTCCTTGTAGCTCCCTCGTATATGAGAACGTTTTTTCCTTTTTTTTTGTGACAAGTTAGAGCAGCATTTTTTACAAATAAAACATTCTAGCATATATCAATGTTAGAAGTTCAAACTCCCCACTGACAATTCCTAAAAAGCAGAAAAAAAAATTGAGATCAAACAGTCGTGGCAACTTTCTAGTAAACCATTGAAAAAGCTGCCACAAAAGAACCTATAAGAATGCGTTATCTTCACATAGTGAAACGCAACTGATTATCAGGCGGCATCATTATATGTATGATTCAAATCAAAGTCAAACAGAACATGAACAAGCCACACCCATAAAACAAAGATGACAAGTGACAAATTGCAAATATCCTTCCACTTAATGCCTAATTATTTGCTTAGTCATACAAAAATGAAAAGAGAACGGGGAATCGTAGGCTCGTATTCGCTTCAGTTCATTTAAAATGCAGATACATCCACATTTTCTATACGAGCACATTCACACAGCAGTTAAACCTCCAGGCAAATGTTATCCAAGCTGCAACATGATCAACCCTTGAGAAAAGCAACGATCCCAGGAGCACCATCAAGCAGGAAAAGATGGCCATCAATGTTCAAGTTAATCACCATAACATACTCAGGAGAGAAATTCATGAAACTCCGAGATTTAGTTAAAAAAAGTGACCACTATACTCAACCATGTATATTTTATAAAAAACAAATCAGTTTTATCATAATGTTAAAGCGTTACTCTAAACTGCACTTACACTACTGAGTTTTCTTTTGAAGATGAAGCACTTTATATACGTATTTATACAAAAAGAATTTCAAGTTTAAATCATCCTCCATCCTCTGGCATCAATATACAGAACATTCAACAGCTGCACACACAAAGGAAACAAAAAACTGAACTCAACTTTGCCAAAATTGCAAGGAACTAATCAAACTAATCCATATATATATAGATACATACACACATATATATAAAGATGCACACATATTTGACTTTATATCTGCTATATTACAGTCATGGTTGTAACCCATATTTTTTCTAAAGGTATTCTACTTTGATTTGTGAATGAGAGAGTAATATTTAAAACAGCACCGAGCACTCTGTAAGCTAAAGTTGGCGAAAATTTATCCCATTATACAAACATCCGCCAAGACTAGACAGATAGGCATGCGGGCCAATATAATTTCTCTTTGGCCTTGGCTTTGATTTGGACCACTACGTCTAGTTAGATAAATGAACTTCCAAGTTGGATAAATGAGCCAAAATTGCATGTAGGCCTTCCTTGGGTTTATTTTTTTGCTTTATGATAGACTCTCATCGAGATTTGTGCTGGCACATTGTCGATGCACAATAAAGAAATTTCAATAAACTTTCCTCGGCTTGTAAAACGCTCAATATCACGACTGAATTATTCATAAAAATATCGCAAAACAATGAGTCAAAATTGAATAATCACGACTATCTAAAAAGCCATTAAAAAAGTTGCTATAAAAGAACCCATAAACTCCTCTTATTTATGTATTCAAAAAACAAAATGGGTTTGAGAAAATGCTAAGGAGATTGATAACTTAGGTTTTAAACTTTGATAGCCAGGTAGGAGTCGCACTAGAAACGGTATAGGTGTAATTATAGATAAGAATTTGAAAGATAATATGGTAAAAATTAATATAATTTGAGATCGAATTATAGCTCTTAAGATTATTGTTGATACTAAGATTTTTAATATTATAAGTGTTTATGCTACTCAAGTAGGTTTAGAGTGGTAGAAAATTTAGAAATATTATCAACAATAATCTTTTAAAGAAAAAAAAAATTATTGGAAGAGATTTAAATGGACATGTCGATAGAGTGGTAGAAGATTTAGAAATATTCATGGTGGTTATGATTTTGGAGTAATTAATGAAGAAAGTAGTCATTATAGATTCTTCATTACTATTTCGGAACTACAAAGTACATATTGAGCAATCTTAAGATTCAATCATATGCCATGTTTAGCATTATTATTTTGGAACTGCAGAATACAAATTGAGCCATCTTAAGATTCAATCATATGTGACGGCAAACCGGCAGATGATCATAAGGGCAAAAAAATGGGTAAAAATATCTCTATGAAATTTGCTTAAAATTGATCCGGGATGATTGCAACATAACATTTAAGTGGCATTTACTTACATTACAATTCTCATCTAGTTACATATCTAAAACTAAAAATTCATATTTACAAACGCAGCACATCTCCTTAATATTACAAAAAAAATGCCACTATCACTATCCTTAAAATTGTTCCTGGATGAGTGCAACATAACATTTTAGTGGCATTTACTTGCATTACAATTCTCATGTAGTTACATATCTAAAAACTAAAAGTTCATATTTACAAACACAGCACACATATCCTTAATATTACAGAGAAAATGCCACTATCACTAACCTTTTTAGAGGTGGCTAAGCATTCCATGCCCTTTTTAGAGGTGGCTAAGCATTCCATGCATATGTTCATGACGAGCTAGATATGTAAATACTATAAAAAAATCATAATGAAATTTACAATCATATGCCTCTTAATATATATATTCAGCCAAATGTTGCCAGTATGTGTTCTTTTATAGAACATGCCCAAAAAATCATTTTTGGACAAAATTACAACAAATGAGAACTCTAGCATCATAGGACAACTTAAATTTTTGGCTTTCTGAAACTGATTTGAACCCAAATTTGAACATGGATCAAACCTATATAACTAAAATATTGAGCGATTTACACACATGCCACGCAATTTTTAGGTATTCATATTTCTAATATCTAAACTTTGATATTTACACAGCACTTCGGACTCACAATCTCACCATAAAACATGCAAGAAAAGGTGTATTACACTTAGACATGCACGGTAGCACATTAATTCATTATTAATTACTGATCAATTAAATTAATGAAAATTAACTTAAAATTAAATTAAAATCACAAAATTATCTTCCCCTTCCCCGCTCCTGCCCAAAACTCTCACCCATCCCTTCCCAACCCTCGCAATTTTGCCAAAAACTATCACTTCTGTGACAACCCAGCGATAAACTTGAGATTAGAGCTAGCCAGGACTAGAATGGCGAGATTGCGGAGTACAAAAACCACCGAAACTCAAGTCTACCTCCTTCGGCTCCACAAACAGCCGGTTTGAGGTATAGTGCTCGTTCATTTAAAATATGAAAAATATGGGGTCAGTTTGATTTCATATTTATATATATATATTTGTATGTGTGTGTAGAGAAAATATTACGTCCGGACACAGCTCCGAGCCCGGACGCAATATTTTTTCATGTGTGTGTGTGTGTTATTATTATTATTATTATTATTTAAGAAAAACATTTAAAGCTAGTGAATATCATTGGGATGATGGCATCCAAAACCATTGCCTTTCTTTCCTTTCCACTCCAAGCCAAAACCCCATAGAAAAAGGAAGCAAAAAAAAAAAAAATTTGCATAAGTATTAGATTAATGAATAAGATAGAGCCATATTAGATATGTTTTAGCATATGATTTTGTTATTGCTAATACTTTATTCAAGAAAAGAGAATGGCATATTATTACTTACATGAATGGATCTAATAAAACACGAATTGATTATTTTCTTATGAGAAGAAGAGATCTTCAAGAATATAAAGATTGTAAGGTCATTCCAAGTGCAGATTTAAGTACTCAACATCGATTATAAGTTCTAGATTTGAAGATGAAGAGTTGTAAAATAAAGAATACTAAAAATCATGCAAAGTGTGCATATCTATGCAACACCGCAAAAAAGGGCCCGAAATATAGAGAAAAAAAAGTTTTAAGCAACATGGAATGAGGAAAGTAGAAAAAAAAGTTATCTAAGCAGCAGTTCAGGTTTTCCATAATTCCATCAAAAAACAGTGAAAAGCAGACACATCCACATCTTCTCTACTAATGACACTGGATGCAGAGATTACCTGTGAAACATAAGTTCATCCTAGCTACTCCACCATGGCATTAGGAAAGTAGATACATCCACATCTTCTCTACCAATGACACTTGATGCAGCAATTACCTGCCAACACATAAGGTCATCCAAGCTGCTCCACCATTGCATGAGAAAAGAAGAGATCCCCCAAACACCATGGATAGGGATAAGATTGCCTTCCATGTTGATTTTATCATCATAGCCTAAACACACACACACATACCACACAAACATCATGTCTTTACACATCTAACACCTAAACTTTCATCTTTACACCCATAAAAATGTTTGAGTAAGTCGAAGCAGAAGCAGTTCTATTTGCTAAATTATACCCGAAAAATAAAAAAAGGAATAAGTAACGTTGGCAAAAAGGAGGATGTTACATGCTGTTATTTCTATATTTTGGTGAGATGTTGAAAAATAGATGATAGGTGGTGCTGGTGTTTTAAATAGCAACATTCCAGATTCCATCTATGTAATTTTCTTTACTTTACAAAATGAGGCTCCGAAGTAAAATGATTCTTGTAACTGCACGAGCACTTCGGATTTCCTAAGAAAGCCCTGTACTTTAAACCCGTAAGAAAATAATTAAAACAATAGAAAGACTTGCTAAGTCTCTGATTTACATATTTACACATTTACACATCCAAATCTCTCTGCATTATCTAAAATCAATCTAATAAGCGGACTTGTTAAGTCTGGTATTAAATAAAAAACGGAGAGACAGGAGTATAAATTCTGT